ACAGGATTATTGCACTAGCATGTTTTGCTTTCTTAAGTGCATGCTTTTTTTCCTTTAGCTGTGATTTCTGATTCCCAAAGCTTATTTCATCATCAGAGAGTCATCTCCTTAACACTGTACCGATTTATCTATTTAATTGTGTTTGGGTTTTTCAGGATAAACCAGATTGTAATTAAATTCCAGGAATAAAAGATGGTTTATGATTTTTAGTAGCTGAATAAGGGCAGTGGTTATCATGTTGCAAACAGGCAGCCTAAAGTCCTTGACCCCAGAGTTGGACCTCTGCTTTCCTAGAGTAAGTAATGTCCTGGGGACTCCCTTTGCCTCCCCAAGTACCACATGGATTTGGAAATATAACAATGAGGCAGCTAAAGACTCAACAGCAGCCTACCTTAACCGCTGTACACCGAGATAATGTTTGGCAGGTGTTACATCTGTGGGGCATTTGGACTCTGTGCAGTACATTAGATTAATTCCTCATTCAGGTAATGCAATTGCTGCAGAAATAGATGTGTCTGTTGCACAAGTTCATGCAAAAACTTTCATATATTTGATTGTAGCTTTTGCCACAGACTAAATTTACTGTCTTCAAGTCTGGAACCAAAACCAAAACTGAAACACTTATGACAAAAAAATGTTCTAGCAAACTGTCAAGAGACCCAGTTTCCAGAGTTTGCATGCATGTTCAGGGTTTTTATTTTTTATATTTATTCTTTTTTTTTTTAAACTGGAAACATAGAAAATTATTTATAAAAGTTCTGTCCTAAAAGGAATTTTCTCTGCTCTAGAGTTCTGTGCTTCCAAAGTAGAAGTTTGGCTTATAAGACATTTTAAAAAAAGTGCAAATAAAATTGAACCAAAAACATAATAAGAGATTTCCATTCATTTCATATTATGTATTATTGCCACTTGCTTACAAAGCTGTTTGCATCCTATAACTATGGTAACAATTTTTTGAAGACTTTACAAACCATAAAAGTACAACCTTTGATCATTTTAGCTTCTATAATTAGGATATTATCCACACAGATACTTTTGCACTTTTTTGCTTTTACCGGTGAGGTGATGGAAAGGATACAAGATTTTGCTCAGTATTTTACAGTTAATGTTAACTCATTAGCATTAATATTCTGGATTTGGAAAGCATATTGAGGTCACTTATTGCCCTGGCTTTTTCTAGGATTTATCTGTCTGCCAGCATAGTGTGGGAGTTGTGCTAGAAGACTTTTTGAATGAGTCAAGCTTGGTTTTTATCATATCTGAAAGCAAAAATTTGAGTTGTTCATGAAATTGATTGCAAACTATTTTAATGCCATAATTTTTCAGATAAGGAAGGACTTTTAAACTTTAATGTCCTTAATAGTAGGCAATTAATAAGTAGATAAATTGGGAAGAAAAAATTCAGTTCAGTTTTTAACTGATTCATTTTTAGTCATTCTCTATCAGTTTTCCAGAACAAGCATTAAGAAGGTGAAACATTTCCTGTAATGCAGGAGAGGATGGCAAGATTCTTAATAAAGATATAAGCAGTTACTAATGTTTAATTTTTCAGCAAATTTATTAATATACTGAAGATTTTTAAAGCGCTATTACAAGCATGTCCATTGGCAGAATGAGCTTTTTTTTTTTTTTTTTAATGTTTGTTACAATTAACCGATGCTGTGAAAAAAAACAAACCTCTTTGGTTGGTTACTTTGGATGAGTTAGTCTTCCTTCAGATCGGCACTGTGCAGTTACAAAGAAGTTTAGCACAAGAAAAACAAAATGCCTGGGAAGAGGGAGAAGAAAAGACATCTGGTTTTAGCAGGTGCCTAAAGTTAGACTGGACAAAGCTTAAGGTGAAACTGCAGTTCTAAATATCTGCATCCTTTATTCTCAGATTTGCCTCCGTAGTCCATGAAGTGGCTGCTGATCCTCACAGGCTGGTTTCTGCTGTGTTACATCCATGTGTCAGGGTGGGACACCTGTACTGGTATTTCAGCTGCCTGCATCTGGCATGAGGCAAGATGTAGCTGTATCAAGATGGCACAGTCCTTGTCTGTACCTTCTGTACTCCCGTCATAATGCGTGCTGGAGGCAGAACAACCTATACACCTTTAAGCTCCGCTTTCTTCTGCAGAGGACAAGAAAGCGTGGATCGTGGAAGATATAATGAACAGCACACTTCTTTGTCTAAGCTCATTCTTAAAATAAACTTGTTAAAATCATAGCAGGGCCTTACACTGTGCATACATTTATCTCTCATCTGCTTCAGGAGGCATTAATCTGGGTAGAAATCCTTCAGACTTGCTCCTGTAAGTCATCTAGTCTTCCCGAATCAAAGAAGCTAAAGTCTTCACAGGATCTGGTCTGTGGGAGCATAGAAACGCTGCTGGGAACCTGTCTGAGCAGTTCATTGAAAACCACTTGCTTCAGGCCTGGATGTTTTCAGCCTCTGCACCTTCATATGTTATATTGTGTGATGGGGTGCTTTGAGGGAAAATGTTATTGTCATTGCTTGAAGAAGGCCCTGGCATCATTAATAGATACTCACTCCAGTGCAGGAGAAACACAATGTCCTATACAATCACACTTAAAGTTATCATGTCTGACGATATTTCTAAGGTTTAAAAACAAGACTGCACTGCATATTTTCCCTTTTAGGGGAAAATTTAAAATACTGGTATGCCTGTATTTACAATTCTGACGGTTTCTTGCAAAGCTTAAGGAAAATTTGCTATGTACAATCAAAAAATTTCTGATCAACTTAACAAAAGAGCTACTTCTGGATTAAAGGAGCAGGTAATGTGAGGCTCTCAATGTATGCTGAGGTTTTATTGTTAAATGTCAATGATGACCGTCAGATGCTGGGAGTTGCTTTAGGTTTGCTGAGGACCCTTCCACCATCTTTATTACCTAGCAGTGGCCTTAATGGCTCCTAACACAGATTGGTCCAAGCCCAGATTCTGTTCCCAGCTGGGAGCTCTAGGGAAAGTGTGTTACAATAAGGCAAATATTTATTGCTGCTTTCTTCGTGCATTCCACACCTTCCTTGTGCTTAATGAGTGATGAAATGTGATGTTGGTTGCTGGACACTGACAAATTTTTATTCCATGCGTTTGTGTAACTGCTTCCTGAATCCATTTTGTCTTTTTACCTTAATTTTAAAGGATAATTGCTATTCACAAAAGGAGCCTCGCTGGAAGCTGATGCTTCCATGATACCTGTATAGGTCAGAGTAGAGTTTGACTTGCCGTGTTTCATCATACTGTAACTTTATCAGGTTGTGAAGCATAGCATGTGATTATTTATAGATTAAGCGTGCTTCTGCTTGCAGTACAAAGATAATTTGATACTTCTTAATATGTTCTCTCTCTAAATGGTTTCATAAAGTATAAACTTGTGATACTTACATGTGCCTATTTATATCATCAGATGTTCGTACCTCCCTTGTTCAGTCTTTTGGCAGTCTGTCTCATCTATAAGTTCTGCTACATTTTCTGTACAAATGACATGTTGCATATTTTGCTTCTTGCAGCTTGCTGTTTTATTGTCAGTTTATAAATTTCATGAGGTCAAAACTGAAATTACATAGAGAAAATTGAATATGTTTGTTTGATCAGCTGGAAAGACAGTTTATAAAACCAAGAAGTCAATGTTTTCGTTCAGGTAGGAAGAGAAACAGTCCATGTAACCAATTATTTCATTTAGTTTCATTATACTTCTGAAGATGAGTGAAACTTATAGGAAAAAAAAAATCAAAAATATACAGTGTTGAAAATATCATATCTTAATGTTTTGATTTAGACAATTCAGGTTAAGTGGCTTAGGTGATTATTTATTGGACTTAAAATTAAATGTGTTTTTATTCCAACTCCTCTTTTGTAAAAAGAGACCTTTGCTTTAGCTAAAGAAATATTTAGAAATGCATTTGTTGAATTAATAGCTTATCCAGTAATTCAGGAGATTGAGAGGATATTAACTTTGAGATGTTCATATATGTCTGCCTATCACTGTACCCATTTGTTTGAGTTGCCAAGTAATTGAGTGTCAACTGAATATTTTCATCAAAATTATTTAGTTCCATACTGATAGTTTTTCTTAAATGTCCGATATTTTGTAAGCCCAGCTTTTTGTAAATTTACAAATATATAAATTTGTACTTGAAAAAACTCTGGAAGCTATTTTTGCATCTTTGATAATTCAAATGATACTTCTGCAGCATCATCATTATATGCAAGAAAAACTTAAGACACAACATTAAATGTTTGTTACACAATTGTTTTCAGAAAACATATTTTGCTCAAGTTTTTTATTTTTGTAAATATAAACAATATGTGAAAGTATGTACTCACGCTTCTTCATGAAACCTTTTATCTTTAACAGCTGTATCATCTTAAATAGTTTCCACAGAGAAATATGGATCACTTTCTGCCTTTACGCACTGACTTATTGAGGTCTCCTCCACTCCAGAGTTTGTAGACTAAAAATAGTCTGGAATAAAATAATCTTTTCCTTTTACCTAAGATTAGACCCTTCCATCAAGACTTCTGCTTGACTTTTTTCAGTAGGAGCTGAACAGTATACCTGTATTTTTCTTACTATTTGATTTTTTTTTATTTTTTATTATTATTATTATTATGTTTCCTAATAGAAACTAAGGGGACCTGCAGTACATTAGGGGAAATTTCTCAGAAATGTCTCACTTTGTCACCAAAGTAAATATAGGTGGAAAACTTCACTGAATTGCTGGTGGTTCTCCAGACATGGAAACTTGATATTTCTATCTTGCCCCTGACTCCCCCCACCCTTTTTAACCATTTAAGAGCATACAACATCCAGACATACAGCCCAGCCTTTCAACTGATTATCCTTATGATCTCAAATTCCGGAACAGTTAATCTTACTAAACAGTATCTCCACATGCCAAGAAACCTCATTTGTATTTGCCAAGACTTGAGGAGGATATCCATTTGTCATGTAAAATTTTATGACATTAGTTTCTCGTTAGAAAAATCTACCTGGTTTCAATTTATAAGGATACCTGCAATTTTGTCAGGGGGAGGAGAAGAGATACGCAGAAATAATAGAGGTGATTAATGTTAATGTTAATTTTATATATCTGTCATTGCTTTTCCCGGCAGTACTTTTTAAATTCTCTGCTAAAGATGGAGTTATCTGTATGTGAACTATTTCTATAACCCTACTTAGTAAGAATGAAATTGTATTCTTACACTCAACAATGGAAAGTGTGTTTAAAAACCTGTGTTTTTTTGACTAAGCTACTGTTCTTTATTCAGAAGTCCCAGCTTTCTGTAGAGAAAGCAAACTCCAATATCAAGGCCGAAAAGCTTTTCTTGAGGCATTCAAATACTTTTTTTAGTAAAGTTAAAGGTTGTACATCCTTGGATAAGCATCTGGTTTTTACAGTGCAAACAACGATAAAGAAAGCAAAGCTGGAATAAATCCAACTGCATAACATACAAAATGTCATGGTAGCAAAAAAGTTCCAAATCTTCAGAAGCTCTAGTGCTAATTTGATGCCTTTGTGAAGAATGGTTTAATAGGAAACTTCAGGCTGTGACAAATCGAGTGACTGTGTGTTAAACTTTTTTAAGTACTTTGTCAAGCGTAACGGCATAGGTACGGTATCTTTTGAACTGTCGTTTATAGAAAAAAAAAAAAAAAGAAAAGTGTTATTGCAAAGTTCTACTCAAAATGTTGGTTGCTCTTACTAAATGCATTAGAACAAGGGGCATCCACTTGGGGTGGGGAAGTCTTATCCCCTTCTCTTGGAATAATAACTTCATCTCAACTGATTACAGAATGCAGCTCATTTGCTTAGAGCAAAATGGTTTCCTGTCTTTTCTGCTATTTCAGTGTCGTGTAAAACAAAACCAGATACGATAATGTACAAAGCAAAATATTTTACGCTGTTGGTGGTTTTTTTTCCGATGTTTACAGTATTTTTTGATTTTGTTTTTTTGTTCTTTAATGCAACTGTATCTATACGGGTTTTTCACAGAAGGGTGGTTTAGGGTTTTCCTTCAAGCCTGGAAATTTTTTCTCAATAATATATTTTTTTGATGTATTCTTACTCTCTACAGTAAAAGTAAAAAAAGACAAAACCAGAGAAAAGCAAACTGGATGTTTTCTATTTATAAGCATAATTTAGTGTTTGAAGAGTAAGCTGCTTGACTTTAACGGAAATGAAAATGAGGAATGAACAAAGCTTCTCCCCAGAGATTGCCACTGTTGGGAGGAAAGGAGAAAGAGGGGAGACACTGAAAAATTATTAAGGTAAAAAAAAAGGCAGATTTTCATACTTGGCACAAACGGCATTGGGTAAGTTTCATGAAATTTTCAGGACTGTTCTAAGTGGATTCTCTTTCCTCAGTCATACATATATACATATGTGAAAACTTGGCTATTATACCATATTAGCTTTGATTTTATAAGCTCCAGAAAAGCTATAGTATTTGTCTCTATGGTGGTGGCAATGTCTATTAATGTTATCTTTTGTGATTTCATCTTCTCATAATGTCTGAGAGCTCTGCTTTAAACTAGCAGTCTGTGATTGTGACTGGTGAGATAAAAATTTCAGTGAGATAGAGAAAGCTCACGCTACTGTGTGTGACAAATTGCAATGACAAGGCTGTGTTGATAGCAGCTTATGATGTGAAATGAAATCACAACAACAATACCATAAAGATGTGTGCTTAGGGCATCTTTACAGAGCTCAAAGTGAAAGAAGATATGGTCAAAATGTCTAGTAGACACCGTGTTCCTTCCCTGCACTTCTTTTTATTGCTAGAGCTGCCCAGTACTGTTCAATAAAAATATTTCATGCATTTCAGATTTTTTTTTTCTTTACTGTGTATCTTTATCCGACCTCCTGTGTAATGGATACAATCAGCATCTGAAAATTAGTTAAGTTCACTACACAAATATAATTGTTGGCATGTGCAAGTTAGCCATTTGATTAATTCGATTACCTGAACGATCTGTTTGAAGAACGAACAACAGGAAAGGATAAATAACCAAGCAGTTACAGTATGCACGACGAGAAACTTCAGGGGTTTGCACCAATGTCTTTATTCATATTAGCTATTTATATGGCTGACAAAGTACAAGCTGTCAGTAGAAGCAACTACGTTTGTGAATCTGTTCTAGATATTAAGTGTAAAATTCAGTTGCCTAAGTATTGAAATCTAAAGCCATTTTTTAATATTATAGGCATTTAAGATAACTTTGTGGGGCTAGCAAGTATAAGACAGGGTGGATGGGATGCCAGTGCTCTTCTGGAGCAGAAGCTGAAGGCTATATAAGACCATGTAAAATAGCACAAAAAACCTATAGTTAAGCAACCGAATTACTGAGTAGTGGCCTTTATGGTAGCTGCAATTTGGGGTTCTAGGAGGAAAAAAAAATTCTCCAGGAATAAGAGGAAACAGCCACTGCGAAACTGAAAAGTAGCAGGATTCAAAATTTACGTAATTATTAAAAATCTCAAATATTATTAATCCCCTAGATGAAAAAATAGTGTCTGCAAATCAGGAGACAAGTTTGAATGTGATATCCTTTCAGTACAAAGCGATGTGCATTCAGAGCACACTTGCAGAGATCCTTGAAATCATTTTAGTTTCCTGATATGATCTACTAAATAAATTGTCATCGAAGAGCTGAGTTTTCACCCTTCTGAATAAATAATCTGATCCGTAATCAAATGGGGGGGAAAAGCAAGCTAGAAAACTCTTTCCAAATCAGTCCCATTCAGGAATAATTTTCGTAATAGTTATTTGATTAATTTTTTTGATGAATTGTTAATTTTGGTTGAGTTTATTTTTAGCATAACTATTTTAGTTAATTACCATTCAAATTATAGTTGTCAATTATCCCTAAAACAGTTGCTGTAGATGGTGGTTTTCTTGCTAAGATTCAGGCATGCTTTGCTTCCACTGAAAACCTCTGGTTTCGTCATTGATTTCTGTCCCATCACACTGATTGAGCATACACTGCAGATATTCTGAGTACAAGCATAAATCAGTTAAGAAACTTCTTAGAACGCTTCATTTTAAAAAAGAGAGAAAAAGTAACTCATGAATTAGAACAGGTTTTCCCCCTTGTTATTCTCAGTACCAAATTACTGTAGGACAGTTAAAACCATGGAAAATACTTTCCTAATGAAGTGGGAAGGGTGCAGACCAATAATTACTATAAACAGCATTTCTCTTCCTGATTACAGAGCAAGCAATAATTGATAATGGAGCATGCAAATATTATTTTCTACCAATAGGTGCCACTATAAGCTAATTAAGCTAAAGTATGTAATGACAGATTTAAAGCAGACATTAGGAAAACATTATATACATATTAAAAAAACCCAAACAACAACATGCATGTTATTTTAGTGATTTTTTTTTTATATTTATCTACTTTCTTTGTATTTCTCTTAGAAACAGAAAGGTAGTCTTAAAACATGTTCTGGGGGCAGAAGTGGAGAATTGTTTTCTCAGTCATTTGCAAAGTGCTTTTTTACCTTCTTCAAAGGCAATGCTGAAATCAAGCTAGCAGGCAATGTGGGCACTGTACTGCATCAGCCTCTACCTGTGGTCTCTGCAGCTTAAAAATCCTCTGGCGTCTGCTGCAATTTAGAAATCAACTAAGCCAAAAGAGCTGATTTGCTTTGGACCTGTTCATGTTTGACTTTCCAGAGACGTGAAAAGTGAACTGCGTGTTCCAGGTGCTGCTTGTATCCCTTCATCGTTTATCCTTTTAGGTAGGGCATAACCTTTCTTGTGTGGATTTTGGGTGCTGACGGCAAAGTTTCTGTTCTGTCCCTTTCCTGCTTCTCCTCCCCTTTGTCCAGTATACCCGAATCACACATCCCTTGCTGCTGTGTCTCAATTGCAGTTTTTGTAATCAATCTCCATTTTTAAAACAAATTAATTAAAGCTTTTTAACTGACAAAATTTGCAGCAAACTAAGACAGCACAGGGTGATCCACTACAGTTGAATCTTGCCATTGTAGGTTTCAGCAGCTGGAACCTAATGCATAGAAGAGGAAAGAAATTTTTATTGTGTAAGAATAGAGTGAACTATCATTATGGTATTTCTTTAGTCAGCTATTTCCCTTTAACCATCATAAAAGTACAATTCAAACTCAGACTCACCAAAATGTGTCTAGCCAGCCTCATGTGAGTGTTTCATGAGCAAAGCCATGGAGTATCACTGCAGGTTTTTTTATGCAACTCAGCTCCTAACCATCTCCCTGTTTGGTGCCCTGTTGTAGATGTCTGTAGCCAACCATGTAATTTAATCTCATTCCTATTCAGTCTTAATGGAAAGATGACCTTTCAAGAGATTAGAATTGATTTGTTTATAAATCTGCTAGTCTTGTCAAAGCTTTGTTCTTACAGACAATAATTTTGCTATCATCTGGCCAGTGCTGATAGTTATCAGTGTATTATAGCAGCTGTAATGTGTTTGGGGTTTTTTCTAATCTTCTTTTTTTTTTTTTTTTTTTTTTTTTTCCTGTTGTGTAGGATCTGCATGGCTCAGCCTTGCTGGGTACCTCCCCAACCAGGTTCTCGGTTGTTCTCCAAAGCTTGGACGGTGTCACTTGTGATGCATCCCTCTATCTACCACATGAAATGCCACAGAAATAGTTCCCTGGTTTTTAATTCCTCTGCTCCCCTCTCATGGTAAGTGAAGCCATATATGCCGAATAAAGAGATCTTTAGGAGAATATGGAAAGGAAAAGCCCCTTGTCTACATCAGCAGTACTTTTCATCACAAATTTTGCTTTCTTTTCCATCGTTTTATGCTACACATGGTTGTATCACATTTACATTATCTGTCTGTAGATGCTTGCTACAGTAAAAAAAATCACATAATGTTGTTGCTACTTCTTATGTTACTCACCAGACTGAAGCCTTCATCCATCTTACAGGCTGTCTTTACTTTCTCAGTGTTGTTTAGATAGGAATTTTTGTTTTCTTTTCTTTTTTTTTCTTTTTTTTTTTGAGTAGTT